GATTTCAGTCGCCACCGAATCCCTTGGCGACTCCCTGGAACTGTGGCGCGCAGCAGCTTCCGCTGCGACTGCCACTCCACTGCCTGCTAAAATATCCAGGGCAGTGGGGGATCCCACTGCTTGAGCCCCTGTTCCGGCTCGATCTTCGGTTTCCGAAGGGGTCGACGCCGCAGTGACTTCTGTCACCCTTGCACCGCACGCTTCTGCTGCCTGCCCTTCCGGCGCAATCTGCGCGGAAGGTGTCTTCGCTGAAGGTGCGTGCGCCGAAGGCGTCCGCACACTGGTCGCCGGCCCTGTCCGTCTCGCAGTCGGCGAAACCGGCCGACTCTCTGTTGACCGACTCGCAGTCGGCCGACTAGCAGTTGTCCGACTGGGAGTCGGATACACCCTGCGCGTCTTCACTCCACTTGGCCTGCTTGCTGGTGGCGTTTTCCCAGAAGTGCCTTCCGCCGAAGACGACCCTCTGAGGGTTGTTGGCTCGTCAGCCAAACTCCCTTCTGCTTCTGGCCTGCTGTCCGGTTCAACGCGCCGCTCAGTTGGCCTTCCGTCCGCTTGTCGACCTTCAGTCGCCCGACTCGTAGTCGGCCGACTGTCAGTCCGTCCATCTCCTTCCGAAGGCATTGGTGCCTTCTGCGCAGAGGTATTTGTCGACTTCCCTAGAATCTGCGCGATTATCTCCTCCTGCGTGGGATTCCGCCGGACCGGAGCACGCCCGGTCTCCTCAGTACTAGTTGGCATTTTGCGTGCTCTCTGTTTTGGTTGACTGTGAGGCTCGTGGGTGGGCCGACTACGAGTTGGCACAGCTGGCACTTCCGGCTGCCTGTCCTCAGGTCTCTCATCCCACTTCCGCTTTCGCGGAATGCGCTCACTTCGACGTTCTTCTGCTGCTCTTGCTGGGGCCGGAGCCGGAGGCGGACTGGCACGTTCCTCGTCCAGATCTGTGTCTACTTCGGCCTCCCGTGAGTATCTACCTGGATAGCTCCGTGTCAGCAGCAGAAACCGTGTCCGCTCTGAATTTGTCAAACATCCCATCGCCCGATAAAACACAATCAGGTAAGGCGAAAGATGATTGAGGGTTCCTCCTCTCTCTTCTTGCGCATGTTGGCGCGTCACCTTCCACAGGAGCCGTGCCCAATGCACTGGAGCTCCTGACAACACTAGCTCCACAAATCCTACCTGCCAACCATGCATGTAAGCGGTCTTGGTCGGCTGCAATATCTGCAACAATGCAGTCGCGACATTTCTCCGCAATCGATCTTTGTAATCCCGTGTCCGGAAGCCGTTCTTGGGATGCCTGGCAACTTTGAAAAGCTCATTGTAGGAGATTTCTTCCTCCTTGGACACCTTCACGCTATCGGCTTCGAAGAGGAGATACCCTTCCTCGCCGGCACACCTGCCCAACACCTGCGCCCAGTCACAAATGTCCCATCTTTCTGGATGGGGACGGAATCCGCGTGAGGGCTTGTGTCTCTCCTGCAGATACTCGCGCACCATCTCCGGACATGTCCAGTTCCACCCCCACAGGAGGAAATCGAGCTTTAGCCCCACCAGCACATCTTGAAATGCGCGTAGACCGATCTGCGGCACCCTGAGGGGAGACACTCGCAGCTGGGGAACCTTCGACATTGCGTTACCTGCACACACAAACGTTCTCTCTTTCGCTCGCTCTCTCACAATCGCCACTGCGCGTCGGCCGCTCAAGCACTGACTGCTCACTCTCTCTTCGCTCACGCTCAAGTTCGCTACTCGCAATTCTCTCCAAGGTCTGTCAAGATCCTTGCGCAACCCGTCTCCGCACTCTCTCGTCTCACTGCAGGTCTCTCCGCCCTTGCGCGTAATCTTGGAAGCTGGAACTCGCAAAATCAAGAATGAGAGAATGAGACTGGAGCGCAGTCTTTTCTTCTCCAAATTCAAGAACGTCCTACGTTCTTACTGGTTACAACGTACGCAGCCGGCTATACGGCCTAACGGTTCGCCCTTTGCATGCGCGAATTCACGTCTCCGCACTGCGCGCATTCGCATGCGTGAATGTTGAATTCTCCCGCCGCCGCCGTCTTCCGGGCTCGAGTCCGCCGCGGGGTATACGTCGGCTATGTTGTCTTTCCCTAACCCGTCCATCACCGGAGGCGTGTCGCCGCTGGCGTGTTCCTTATCCATCGGCGCCTTGCTGGAGGCGCACATCCAGTCGGCGCGAATTACGCCGGCGCGTATTCGTACCGCCATTTTGTCCTTTATGCCTCGTCCATTGCTGACGGCGCATATCCCGCCGGCGCAAATCATACCAGCGCAAATCATGCCAGCGCATCCGGCCATCAGCGCCACGTCGGAGGCGTACATCCGGCCGGCGTGTTTCTTCCGTTGCTGAGCCGCCAAAGGCGCTTCCGACTTCGAGTTGATTTCCTCCCATGAGCGCGTGATTCCGCCGAAGGCGCATCGCCGAGGGCGTACGGGAGTCCTTTCCGGCTGTGAACCCTAGCGCGAACGGCGCATGTCCGGCTACGAGTTTTCCGACGCTCATAACTTCTTCGTCCCTGATCCATCTCCGACGCTCTTAGGCTCGTTAGAACGAGCGTCCCGAGCTCTTTCTAATGCAACTTTAACCAACTGGAACTACCGTGTATTCCGCTCGTTATGAAGGTTTCCCTTTCCGCGCTAGCGGCGCATCGCCGAAGGCGCACTCATGGTCGGAAGCCTTCAGAGGTCCGGGCCCTTCTTCTGACGTCTTTAGCAAAATCTCCTCCTGAGGTGTCTGCGCCGGAAGCGTAGCTTCCTTAACCGCTGGAAGCGCGTGAGTAGAGACGCCTCAGAAAAGGAGCTTTTGCCGAAGGCGCCGAAGACATTGGCGTTGGTACATCCGACTACGCGATTCTTCGTGACCTCGTGACGATCTCCTCAATCCACTCTATTCAACGTACCCTTTTCTAACTACAAACACTGCTTCGGTACTAGTTTTCTAAAATTGTTTAAATTCTGCAAAAAAAACAAAAAGTGTGTTACCACAACTGCGCAGTCGAGCGAAAGACTGACAGGGTAGGGAGTTAGTGCGCGGCAGTCCGTCGGGCAGGAGGCGAAGCACAGGTTCTGCGGAGTGTAGTGTAGCGTGGTTCCGTGCCGGCGCATAGTGTAGTGCAGTGTAGTGCTAGTTAGGACTTAGAAGGTATAAAATAGTTCAAGGCGTCTTGCCTTGGGTTCTTTCCCAATTTCGGAAGTGCAGATCAGGAACTCATTTTCTCTGCGTGTTTGTGTCCTTAGTTCTGTCACCACGCAAGAGGAGCTACTTCAGGAATTTTCCGTGAAAGTTTCATGAAAGAACACATTTTCCGTCATTAAACAGAATTCGGTCATGGAGGAATTTTCCATGACCAATCTAATTACAATCTCCAAGTACTTAGGTGTTCACTTTGTACACACTTCGGAAGGACTATTGCTGCATCAAGCTCCGTTTGCGCTGTACATATTAGCTGAGTTATGCTACCATGACTGCCGCCCAACTTTCATCCCACTTAATGAAAGCATTTAGCTTGGTCAAGACACGGGATGCCACATTATACAAACGAATTGTAGGCAAACTGCTGAGGTATTGGAGTGTATACTCTCCGCTGGGGAAGCTTCTTAGTGTCGGTTCAACACTATAGTTAATATTTATAGGAAGCTTCTTAGTATGCTTCATATTAGTTTAGGGTTTAGAGTTATGTTTCAAGTAACTAGTGGTTCTTGCTACATATGTCTCGCCTATGAGTTAGCATCTCGAATGTTTTTACTTCCTCACAATGAGTTCTGTGAATACTCAGCTTGTTTAACATAAATCAATAGATACATTGTTAGTAGGTAGCATCTAGTTTGATTGTAATCTCAATAAATGTACAAGTTACACTAAAGATCTATCAATACTAAAGCACCGGACAACCTCCACTGAGGAGGTGCGCGGCATGAACAGTCTCTACGCCAAATCTCACGACAAGATAAAATAAACTTCGAGAGAGTCGATTGGAAAGATGACGGAGCCATCATTCAGACACTGAAGCCAAGGTGTTGTGAGCTCCTTGTCTATCAAGCAGGCTTCGATTTCAATTGAAAGAGGAACGTCACCTTTAGATTTTCTGTCTTTGATTAAAGAGGCACAAGGAGTGAGAATTTGATTATAAGTGGTTTAATTCTCCAAGTTACGCGTTGACTCGGTACATTGGAATTACACTGACATGCATTCACGATGTAGTCCTAAAGTCCAAATTCACTGCATGAACCTGTGCCAGTTGGACATCCACCCATTTTACTAGATGAGGCTTTAGCTGTAATCATTCTTCAGAATGCGAACAGAATTGTTGTCTCATGAAGGACGAAACACTAGCATGTATATGAAATCTATGTACAGAAAGTGTCTATTACTATTGAATATCTGGAAGATTGCTACCATGTAATCTTTCATCGGCCTGCGAGATGTGAAATATGCACCGGTTACGGAGCTGTAACTTTAGTAGCTCGACGTAAAAATGGAAAGCTCTCTTACAATCGTATTGGCAAAACCAGAGGCCCGTAGGGATTGTGGGATTTCTGACTATGCAAACTAATAATCTGGTATCATTTTCTGTAGACCATACTTCTGCAGAATATTTGAAAGACATTGTAGCTTCGATTTTCGTACACAGCACGTGCAATTCCAAGCAGTACTAATCTTCCTACCACAGCAGCGTAAGGAATAACGGTTAAACTGGATACCATAAACAGAACTTTCCACGACTGGAACTAGATCGTTAGATTGTGATATTTACTGCAACGAGAACGCGAATGATTAACGATATCTGGCAGCAACTGAAAACACTGACAAAATTTAAAAACGACCAGTACGAATATGCGAGTGATTTGTGATCTGCAAAAATTTCAATATTTAGAGCATGCAAGGTGTGTGACTCTCCACTTTGAAATTGTGAAATCCAAAACACATCCATAGATATACGGTGCAGTGGCAATGCAGTCCCTACAAGCACCGCAAACCCACCACAATCGATCATTGAAAACGTACGAGTGTTGGTTTACCTGCGCGAGCCTCATCCATCTAAGATCAAATTGCAAGACTGAGCATGAAGGAAAGAAACAGGTCGCCTGCAGTCATCAAGTGAGCAGGAGTTTGAGGATGGAATTCTCCTTGAATCGCAAATGCACGATAAGGATTCAACAGCTCACAATTCCTCCATCTAACGTCACATGTTAGGGAAAGCAACACTTCATCGGATTCGAGAAGAAGGAGCTGACACATATGTTATGTTGTAAGTCGTACATGGGAATGAGGTGTGTTATTCCCAACTCTCGTATTATCTACTAAGAAAGTTGTACCACTACAGTATAGCCTACTTTGCTAGTTAATTTGAAGGGGAATCCTTGTTAGTTTCTTTTACTCCGCTTAGTGATGTGCTTCGGCGCCTAGTGGTGAAGAAAGAATTTGATGAACTTACCATCGATTGGAATCGTTGTCATAGCAACTTCCCTCGTATTTCAAGAATATTCACCTGTCCTTCACCTCCTGTAACTGGTTCTTCTGTTCTTCTCCGTGTTTCCTTACGAGTTCCTTTCTTTCGCATGTCTGACAAGTCGGGAATGCTCCTGAAAATTGGCCTCCTTTCTCCACCTCCCGACACCTTTTCTTCCATTTATCGTTATCAGTTTCTTTCAATTTTGCATATCTGTCCAATCGAGAAGTGTTCTCTGAAATTTTTTTTCCTTCCAATGTTCACCTCCCGTTGTTCTCTCTATCTTTATAGATCACGACATTGTTCCAGTTTCACAGTCTCTTCCGATGATTATCGTCTTTCGTTCGACATCACTTTTCCGGAATATTCCAACGACATTACTATTCTTGAGGGATACTGGAAATTGTTTGGCGCTATTCGTATTCGTGAAAGTTCAGGTGCTATGCACATCAGTACATTAAGGAAAATATTTATATTATCAAATATATACCAGCTTGCATTTCAACGGTGCCACGCAACAGGCACTGCCGACGGTGGCAAGTTCAGCGTAAAACAAGACTGGTTCGAATGCTAGATTTAACTTGAGGTTTACAATTGCCGCTCGCTTTCTTTGTGACAGTGGCTGGATACGAACTTAGAGTTTGAAATAAATGTGATGCGGTCCAAGGAACGTTTCAGAACCTGCTGTTCCTAGCGTTGGTACACGTGGGTGTTCACGAGGCCTACTTGTCCCAGCCTCAGCCGTTACTTCAATGTTCGTCGGTAGAAGGGCTATATAGTTCCAGGAAGAGGGTTCGCATGAGATCATTCCTGCGATCTTCATCGAGGGCATTGACTCTGTTTCATAATTACAGGTCGCTCATGATGGGCTCTACAGCCTGCGGAAACGTTTCGCCTGGCACTGAAGGACGGGGACGGAATTGCAATGTGAACGATCAGGAACAGGCGCCAGATTCGACAGTTGGGGTCACGGATATTGCTCTTCACTACCAGCGACAAAGTTTCGTGACGAGTGCGCCGGAGCCATTTGGAGTGATGAGTGTTTATGACACGATTTTTTTGAAGACCCTTAGAATCGTGAACGAACAAGGTGCTACGCTTGTAAGCCGAGTCTTGGAGCGAACCTTTTGGGCTACAAATGAAATTGAGCACTTGATTTTGATGAGAACCAGTGCTGATGGACTGTTCAAACAAGGAGTCAAGGAAAAATTTTCCATTATGAAATTATGGGACTTTGTTGCAGGCCAATTGCCCGGTGAGGGGCAAGCAAGAAAGGACGGCAAGCAGTGTCAATGGATGTGGAATATGCTGATGAAAGAGTACACCGATGTGCTGACCGGGGCTAAGGAAAAGAAAGATTTTCCGCATTTTGAGGAGATGGACCAGGTCTGGAAATGTACGTCCTCAGCGGATGTGGAAAGAGATCTCACATGTAGTCCCAAGTGATGATTTGACGTGGCAGTAAATTCTCGATGTGTGAAGTAGAGATTGCTATGTACATAAATAGTTCTTTCAATTTGACTTTCAGGAATCGTGAGCAGTACATACCTGTTTGTCATTTTCTTTCAAGGTGTGAAGTGATGTGAAGCGCCGGAAATAAATCAGGAGAGTGGACTCAGAGAGCCAATGCGTATACTAAGCCTCACATTCTGATATTATCTGTTGTGATGATGCAATTTATTCTGGATCTGAATTCGACATATTAGAAAGATATCCCAATCGGGTCTTAATACCTTCGATTTTTTATGGATATACTCTTAGCTTCTTTTAAACATTCGTTTCTCTGAATTATTATGTGTTTGAAACGGATCCTATAAAGAAAACCATGGTTCATTAAATAGGAATACTACTACCCAATCTGCATGTGCATCATTATGTCATAGATCTTTGAGAATTAGGGCGAATAGCGAGGATAACGAATCTACTGCATGCGAGTCTCATGGAAATGATATGATACTTATTTGAGCATATATTGCTTCTGTCCTGATCTTTTTATGTGCAGCTACTGAAATTTGGCTCTTGATGTAAAATTGTAAATTTTAGCTCTCCTTAAGAGTATTCTTCTGATGAATTAAGAAATGAATTACATATATCAAATTTATTCTTTGTTCTCTTCCGGCTAAAGTAGTTATGAGTCGCAACAATTCAATGTTAGTCGCACATAGTAGGGACCAGAGTTCCCAAACCATGAGACATGAGTTTGGAAACTATGACATATGCTGGTTTGCTTTATCCAAACGAGTTGCAGCAGCACGTGCATTTCCAGCAAGCCATAAGTGCGCTACAAAGTAGAAGAATCCTTATAGCAAGGTTAGCTAGCGCAATAGCTGTCGTAGGAGACAGTATAGTCACTTGGCTTTGGGATGGCTTCTCCGTAAGAAAATGCCACCTTAAATAGTTATTTTTTTGGGGTGCCTTCATTACTTACTTCCTTTCATAAGAGCAGGTGCTACTATTCTTCATCTGGCTGCATTACATCAATATGGCTCCAATAATCCGCTTTTTATCCCTACGTAGAATAATAAGTAGGTTGAGTAGCTTTTGCAATGAGATGAGATGAGATGTTGCTATAATATTATAGGAGAAAAAAATTTACTGCGTTCATTTCTGTTGATGATCCTACTACAGCGTGAGTCCAATGGATAAGCTACATAAGTAAATATTGTTTCTCTTTCACGTAAAAAAATGTGATTAATATAATCTCGAACAAGCAAGGTTAGTAATACCATCAGTCCAAACTGAGCTCCAGTTTCCAGTTGAAGAATTGACAGTACCTGTTGCTAGTTCATATTTTATGTAACATATACTGCTTGTCTCACCTTCGAGTATGCATGAATGAATATACATACTGTAGTATATTGTGGAATAAATTGTTTTTGTATGTGAATAACTTAATGTATATCACCCATGAAAAACTTATGCAAGGCCGATGAAAATTCAATAGGTTTGCCCCGAGTAATAGAGATCTAATCGAGACAACACTCATCGACCTGCTAATGGATGTATAACTTCTTGATCTGTTTCACAAACTCTAAGATCTTGAGGTTGACATATGTTGAAAATGTTGCACTGTTGTACTCTTTCATGGGTCTGATTGTCTCATATAGACATTATTCCGACCTTAATACTCTTGTACTTCATATTGCAAGTTAAACATTTTACTTGTTATATCCTCACTTTGTTCTACTTTGGACCGGTAACAGTTGAATGATCTAATTACAAGCGGCTATATCTTTTGTGCGATGGAGTTTAATATTTTTAAGCATTCAAAAAGAAATTGATGAAGAAGAAAATCAGAAAAGAGTACTTACACAAAGAATCTAGGATAATGCCATACAACTAGACTCTCAGCAATTTAAGAGCAAAATAATGTACATCAAAGATGTTATATGCTTCAGAAATAATCATCAATCTATAATGATACTTAACTTTCTTTAGACTATTTTCTGCTTCATAATAAAAAGTTCGACACACCTTGATTTATTCTCATGTTGAATTATTCTTAGGATTTTGATGAACATCAATTGGTCTAATATGTATTTATAAGCATTTTATTTATTACATAAATTACTCTATATAGTACTGGCTTGCTTGAAGAATAAGAAAGAAATCTCCCTTATATATAGGATAAGTAGATACTTATTAATTGTGTACTTATAGACGTTTTTACTGGACTGCATTTTAGCTCAATATGTTTCACACATTCAAGTAAGTATCACCGCTCTTTTGATGATCTTGATAATATATGATGCATAAATAGCCTTGAAATTAAATTTTTTAAGTCTACTGAGGTATGAATAATTATGCTTGATCAGATAATAGCTTCTTATTCATAATAGAAGATGATCAAAATGCACCAAAATTGCAATGTGAATAAGGTATAAAATAAGACCTAAGGTTTCTGCCATGAAGTCTGAATCAGGGCTTGAGAATATGAATTTTAAAATTTAGACTTTGTAGTCGCCAATACGTGAAGAGTAGCTAGCTGAAAACTACATATATTGCGTTCACAAGAAATCAATACGTAGAAGATAAGGGTTTTTGGTCACGAAATTTTACATCTTAAAACATGTCTGTGTTACAGAAATTCAGATAAATTTTCATACATTAACAAAATGATATTACAGTTTAAGCTTAACGTATCGATAAATTCATTTTGTGAAGAATTAGATAATGAAATACAGATTTAGTCAAGTAAGTTTATTTCCTCTTCATTTTAGTTGCATTTTCCAAATTCAAATTCTTCAAAAGTAAATTCTCACAATATCTGTTCAATACTTCTTCCTAAAAAGCCTAAAACTTTCCAAGGCGTTTTAATCTTGATTACATTTCTAGAGAGATTGAGAAATGCTGTAACATAGATATGGAAGATAACAAAATTAATCGTGACTTGACCATACATATATTTTCATACACCTATACAGTCCAGGAAAATACTTTCATATCTGATTCCAATTTATTTCAAGCACATCATTTACCTTCACTATGATCTAAATAATCATGATATCAGACCAAGCATGGATTGCATCACTTGCCTTCACTCTTGAAGCTAAAATAACACAACATAAAACTATTGTGTTGATCTATGACAGAAGTTTAGGTCACTGTTAAGATAAGTTTAAACATGAAGGATGATGCACAAATTACGTCTGGGCGCATGTACAACTGCAATGATGGAGACTAACACCATCTCTGGAAAGATAAAAGTGACCTCAAACCCACAAAGTCTCAGACCTCAAATCATTCGCATGGTTGGATGACGGAGCTTTTCCCTGCGGTCACATGTCAAGTCTCCGGTTTCGTAACCAATTTGGAATTGAGTTGGAACGGAAGAAAATTTTTCAAAGGAAACGGATTTTCTGTGGAGCCTCTAAAAAAGACCGTGCAAAGAAGTAGAGGTTCATTTGTCATGATATTAGAATTGGGACTGGTGCACGATGCAATCGTGAGGCCAGAGGTGACTAAGCACACGACCAACAGGATGCACTTCAAACAGTACGTCGAATCGCAAAGATAAATTACACCTTACACGTTCAATCCTAAAGATAATCCTCAAGATATATGGAGAAAGAAGTCAACCAGACAATACTATGAGTGCCTCAATGGTTGCATACCTGCCGTTTGCAGACACACGTGACGATAAAGAAGTCTTCTACTGTCGAATTGTGCCGTGATTACAGTGCAGAAGAGTGTCTGTAATCGGGTCATGCTCGAGTCCGCTATTGCTTTAACGGCCGCGAAGTCCGTAATGCATTCGTGGTCATCAACAATTTTTGCATTGACTAATATAGCAAAAACCCCTCACACATGTTTCATATGTGGTGCAGAGAAAAGAGTTCAATAATCAATATACATCATTCTATACGTAAAAATTAGAGCTAACATGTCTAGTTTAATCTCGTATACAAATATTAAAGATTAAACATAATTTTCGTTGATTAATTTCTTGAACAGAGTGTTTGTTTATAAATTAGATTAATAGTTCAAAAGCAAGGAATATTATATTAGTTCTTTCTAATGACATATGGTAAACTGTCATTATATGGATTTTTCCTTGAAAGGAAAAGATTATATTTCCATGAAAGTGGATGAGGGTTTTTACCTTGCCCCTGTGCTACTTATGGAAATGATGATGGATGTAATGCAGTGTTTTCATCGTAATTAATGCACATGGTAATCCAACGGTCTATCAATACTAAAGCACAAGACAAACTCCTCTGAGGCATAGGTGCTGGGCATGTACAGTCTTGGCGCCAAATCTGACGAGGGCGTAAGCAAATCTTAGAGTGTGAATTAGAAAGATGATGGAACTACTTTAGAATCTGAAGCCAAGCTGACGTTAAAGTTTTTTATCAAGCAGGCTTCTCTCTCAATTGAAGTGGGAACGGCATATTTCGAATTTCTGTCTTTGATCAAAGAGCACAAGGAGTGGGAAATTATTTGTAAGTTGTGTAGTTCACTAATTTGCACGCTAAATCGGTAGATTGGAGCTACACTGACATGCATTCCCGACATAGTCATCAAATCCATACCCACTTCATGCAACTGTACCTGTTGGACATCCACCCGTACAGTAGATGAGGCATTAGCTGTAAAATTTCTTGAGAATACGTTCAGATATATTGTCTCGTACACATGAAGTCGAGTAAACAGTAGAATGCATATCAAATCTGGGTATCATAACTCTCGAGGATGTAGAAAATTGCTTCCATCTAAGCGTTATGTGAACTATGCACCGGTTACGGATGTGTCAATCTCGTAACTCGAGATACAACTGGAGAGAGCTTTTGAATTCATTCTGGCCAAAAACCATCTCTTTCGAAGATACCTTTAGAGAAGTATTTGAAAGACATCGTAGAATAGATTTTGTCATATAGCACGTGCACCTTCCATGTCTTGCTAATTTTCATACCACAGCAGTGCAAGGAATTAATGATCCATTGCATATTGCAAACAAAAATTTGAACCAGTAAAAGTATAATTTACTGCAACGAGAACGTGAATGATTGACGCTAAAGGGTAGCAACTGAACAGACTGAACAAATTTAAATATGATCAGTACGAATATGAGAGTGATTTGTCATCGGCAGAAAGTTGAATAGTTGGAGCATGCACGGTGCGTGTGTCTCCCTCCACCTTGAAGTTGTTGATTCCGAAACATATCGACAGATATATGGTGCACTGTCAATACAGTCACAACAAACACCGCCCAACTACCGCTACCGATCATTTAAAACGTACGGGTGTTGGTTTACCTGCGCAAACCGCATCCATCTACGATGAAAATGCAAGACTGAGCATGATGGATACAAGCTGGTGGCCTGCAGTATTCATGTAACAATCAGGAATTCGAGGAAGGAATTCTCTTTGGATAAGAATTGCTCGATAGTACAACATAGAGACTCAACTGCTCATAATTCCTCCCTTAAATTGGTACATGACATGACGTCCTCAGTGGAAGAAACCTTATGATTTCTGAAATTAAATATAAGGCAAGCTCGCGATCTTCGGTAGGGTTCGGGAAAACATTTTAAAGAATGCAGTAGTAGGCATTGAGCAAGAACAAACTAAACTGCAAGTTGCAGGGAACCAACTTCAGTATATCTAGCGAATTGACGGGGCGGTTAACATCAACCCAAATTTAGACTTCTGAGTTTATTATTCGACTCTTACCAACTTCTATGAAAGAGGTAGGTGGTGATTAAACAACTACCCAATTTGACAGAAATGAACTCAACAGGAACAAATTGAATGAAGATAAAAAATGTAACTGCAACCTTCAATTCATCAGCAGAGAGTGGCAATTTATGTTCTTTTCGTGTATCTCCCTACCACTTTTTAAGCAGCCGAAGGCCTTCTGTTTCTCTGTCTTGCTAACTATAATACACTAGAATCTAAGTAGGGAGATGTCTCTCTCAATTCCACATGTCGACTTCTTGCATCCGTATGATATTTCTTGAATTTCCAGAGGCGTTGGCCACCAGGCAGTGGTACTTCATTGAACCGGCCTATATAAGTATTGGTGACGACGTTTTGAAACCAATCTAGCTCAGTCGAAACGCTGACGCATCTGACGTCACATGGTATGGGAAGCGTTCTTCATCGGATTCGAGAAAAGAAGCTGGCACATGTGTTGTAGGTCTTTCGTCGGGAATGCGGTGCTATTCCACAATCTCGTATTTTTCACTAAAGACCTTGCATAAATTGAAGTTCAACCTACTTTGCTAGTTGATTTGATGTGGAATCTGGTGAAGAAACGTAACATCAATTGCAATCGTTGTCAAAGCAACTTTTTCCCATATTTTCAAATATTTTCTCCCGTTCTTCACCTCTCGTAACTCGTTCTTCTGGTCTTCTCCGTGTTTCCTCACGAATAACTTTCTTTCACGCATCTGACGAATCGGGAATGCTCCTGAAATATTGGCCTCGTTTTTCCACCTCCCGATACCTTCTCTTCCACTTATCATTATCAGTTTCTTTCAGTTTGCATATCTGTCAAATCAGGAAGTGTATTCTGAAACTTTCCCTCCTTCCAATCTGCACCATCAGTTTCAGTGTCTTTTTCGTTGATCATGTCTTTCATTGCAAATTACTACTCTGCAATATTCGAATGAGGTTATTTCTCTTCAGAAAAATGGGATCTGAAATCTGATATTCGTAATCGTGAAAGCTCAGGCGTTTATCATTTACTTGTTTAATATTTAAATTAAAGACAAACATACCTAGCAAGCATGAGCTTTCAACTGTGCTGTGGAACTGGCGCTGCTGACTGTAGCAAGTTCAGCTTTTGAACAATACAGGTTCCAACTTTGGGTTTGCCTCGAGGTCTACAATTTCCGCTCGCTTCTTTCTGACAGTGGCTTGATTTTGATTAATAAGATGTGATGCGGTCCAATTAGCGTTTCTGAACCTGTTGTTAGTAGGGTATGTACGCCAGTGAAGAGTTGACAACTCAAGTGGCCTACTTGTCCATCACATCACATCAAATTTGATGTGATGCGTTCTAAGTAAAGTTCGTCAACCTGCTGTTCGCAGCGTTGCTACGTAAGTTGGGTGTTCACACGATGCAAGAGGCCTACTTGTCCTCTTGACAAATCCCAGACTCAGCCGCTACTTCAATGTTCGTGGGTAGTAGGGCTATATAGTTCCAGTACGAGGGTTTGGATGTGAGAACATTCTTGCGATCTTCATCGAAAATCTTCATCGAGGGCATTGACTCTGGTCCGTAATTACAGGTCGCTCATGATGGCCTCCACCGCCTGCGGAGACGTTTCGCCTGGCACTGAAAGACGGAAACAGAAGTGCAATATAGACGATCAGGAACAGGTGCCAGATTCGACAGTTGTGGTCACGGATATTGCTCTTCATTATCAGCGACAATGTTTCGTGACCAGTGCGCCTGAGTCGGTTGGAGTGATCAGTGTTTATGACACGATTTTTTTGAAGACCTTTAAAATCGTGAACGAACAAGGTGCTACGCTTGTAAGCCGAGTCTTGGAGCGAACCTTTTGGGACGCAAGTGAAATTGAGTACTTGATTCTGATGAGAACAAGTGCGGATGGACTTTTCAAACAAGGAGTCAAGGACAAATTTTCCATTATGAAATTATGGGACTTTGTTGCAGGCCAATTGCCCAGTGAGGGGCAAGCAAGAAAGGACGGCAAGCAGTGTCAGTGGATGTGGAATATGCTGATGAAAGAGTACACCGATGTGCTGACCGGGGCTAAGGAAAGAAAAGATTTTCCGCATTTTGAGGAAATGGACCAGGCTTGGGAATGTACGTGTGGAAAGAGATTGGAAGACATTAATAACTGAAACGAGCAAGTGATGTATCCGTCCTGGAATGAGATATTTAGATACACAAGTGTCTTATCTACATTGCTGAACCTCTCTGAAGAATCTTATCGACTTGGATTTCTAAGTGTTATTCTCAAGAAAGTTATTATCGCTCTCTCGATCCGCCACATGGGTTAGGCATGCTCCTCCATGTGGGGTTGCATGCTCCACGCCACTGCGATCAGACCTTCATCTACTCAAGCTCTGTGACTAGGTTATCCGTTTCTTTCTTATTTTGTCAGATGTCAGATGTAGTCCCAAGTAATGATTTAACGTGGCAGTAAATTCTCGAAGTGTGAATCAGAGATACCGATGTACATATATAGCTCTTTCAATTTGACTTTAAGGAATCGTGTGTAGTGCATAAATATTTATTGTTTTATTCCAAAGTGATGTGAAGTGATGTGAAGCGCCGGAAATAAATCAGGAGAGTGGATTCAGAGAGCCAATGCGGATACTATGCCTCAGTTTCTGATATTATCTGTTGTGATGATGCAATTTATGCTGGATCTAAATTCCATATACTACAAATAGATAAACCAGTCGTATCTTGGAAACTTGCTATTTTTTAAAACCAAGTTATGAATAATGAAATGTAATGAAAATGGATCCATAAAGAACACCATGGTTCATTGTATACGAGTACTTGTACCGAATCTGCGTATGCATAAATAAGATATATGTCAATATGAAATAAATAGCTAGGATAGCGACTACATAGAAGACTCTTGGAAACAACATGATACTTATTTCAACATGTATGGCTTCCGGGTCCTGATCTCATTATTTCGAGCTACTGATAGCTGGCTCATGATGCAAATCTATAAATCATAGCTATCTTCAGAAGTGTATATCGGATAAATATGGATTCAAATAAAGTAAAACAAATCTTTATCCTTCTTTCTTCCGGCTGAAGTATTTTTGAGGAGGAAAATATCAGTGTCATGCGCACATAGTGGGGAGCATAGTTCCTAGACATTATCAGGCCTAAGTTCGGAAACCTGGACATATGTCTCTTTTTTCAAAACCAACTGCAGCATCACGTGATTGTCCAACAAGACACAAAGTACCTACATAGAAATAGAAACCTAAAACGAAATGAGATGTTTTCTACGAAATTATAAGAGAAACATAGTTTAACGCGTTGATTTCTGATGAATGATTCTACTGCAGCATGAGTCCAATGGATAAGCTACATAAGCAATATATTAATATTTTTCTCCTGGAAAAATGTGAATATTATAGACTTTATCTTTTTAATAATCAGGGCAAGCAAGGTCATCAGTCCAGACTGTAATTCATGTACCAGTTGAAGACTACGCAGCAACTTCACGTATATCTTCTATCAAATGATTGTGCAAGGCCGAAAAAAATCAAAAGGATTGTGAGTTGAGTTCTCAATTGATACATCACTCACCCAGCTATAAGTAGATATATCACTTCTCTTCTTATCAATTCTTATGTTGTTTTCACAAACTCTTAGATCTGAGGATGACCTCTATTGAGAGAATTACAGTGCTGAATCCTTCACTGATGATGGGGCTGATTGTCTTGTACTGGCATAGTTAGGATCCTAGTGTTCTCGTACTACACCTTGCAAGTGAAGGAATATCTATAAGAAAAGATCATCGACACAGCTGGACAAGGAAAATATGATCTCATGTATAACACTCCAAAATGTTCACGTGCTTCGTTATTATTGCAATCAATTATCAAGACATAGCATGTTCGTCTTGACATACAGAGTTCTGTTCATGACATATTTCATGCTACTATCTGTCAGGGACAGATAACAGTATGAAATATCAGACTGTCAGGGACAGTCTGATGTGATTGCTCATCTACGTTTTACCAATTGGCGCACAGTCTAGAGGCGTATGAGACTGCTAAACTGTAATTTTATTACGGTCGAAAACAGATAAATAATCACATGCGATGGAGAATTCCTAATCTAGAGATTGCTAGACTTGAGCAAATCAAGAGTGGCTTTCGTGTCAAAACGAGTATCTAGAGTCTTGATATGTAATTAAAAATATTAGAAATCAAGAATCACATACGTCTCTAGAAGGTGTAATTTTTTGATTTTCCTAGTCTGGAAATTGCTAGAATTGAGCAAATCAACCGTCACTTTCGTGTTAGAATGAGCTGGAAGGTGTCCGGTAACTTTCTCAACTTACGCTCCCACTTTCGTTTGTGGCCCAAGGACTAACACGTCTTACCTCGTACTCTTCATTCGTGGTCAGATTGTACTATAATTCCAAGTTCATTGAAACCTTTATATCTTCTGGTGTGATAGACGGACTCCATTCTTGGAATGCATGAGAAACCAGTTTCATGATTCTATAAACATGTAAATATTTTTAGTATTCATTGTCACAAATTGACATTAGTACAATTTCGGATAATCTTCTATCAAATGTTTCCAAAATGTATGAGCTTTGTTTTGTTTCATCAAGAAATAATTTACATCGATGACTCCATTCTCCATACGTGAAATCATTTATTGTCTCATCTACTACTGTCATTCATATTTTTAGTAGCTCCCTCAACCCCGGCCAATTGGCTGTGAAGATGCTACTGTAGAAACTCATATTCAACAAATTTTGTGAATCCGTTTGTCATACTTATGAAGAAACATTAACGTATGTGGTATTTGATGACAATTTCCAAGGTAAAGAACAAAGCGTACGATTAATTAAAGATCTGATAAATATAAAAAGAGGAAAGGAACACAGAATTTAAACCGATTTGTCTCTTAATGAGAACTGAAATGTTTACAAGTAACCATTTTTCTATATAATGTCAACATAGAGAGAATCGGAAGTAGACACAAATGATATGAAGTTGAGAAGATAAGGAAAATACGGAGATAAAATTGTTTCCAATGCTATTAAATACTTTTTTAATTCTCTATTTCTTGAGTGATTATTGAAAATGACTCAAGCTCTGAATAGCTAATGAAGTAGTTATAAGTGATCAATTTTTCTAAGGATTTAGCAGAAATTGTAATGCAATTTAGCAATAACATGAATTTATTTGAATAAATTCATGTTAACAAACATATAGTTATGATCTCAAGACTTTCTTTGATATTCAAAATATTCATTAACAAGTATTGGTGTTAAATCATATTTTGATAGATTTTTCATAAAATTTAAATTACTACTAACAGTAAATTAATTTATTACTACTGTTCATACATTTATTAGTTGAAAATAAGGTTTTAACAATTATAATCTCTATCATACAAGGATTAAGTGTATTAGACGATAATTGGAGAGTTTGATTAAGATTGCAGGTGAAAAAAATTTTGAAATTTTTTATTTCAATATTACACATGCAAAATCCATGTGTTTGTAAGACACTGATTTAATATTTTATTTATTATTACACCTAAAAATATATATATTTGATAACTAATGATTGATTGTATTGATCAAAAATTACATTTATTTTAAATCTGTGGATTTTTTAGATGATAATTGATTGTGTTAATGAAATCTACACATATTAGATTATGACTGAGTATATTAATTGAAAAAAAACACTTAATTAATGTGCGTGTTTGTTACATAATGATTGATTATATTAATTGAAAATTATATATGTTAGATAATGATTGAATCTGATACTTTGAAAGTACAATTAATTGCAGTATCAATCATTGAAAGAGTACTTCATTCAAATATGAAACACAACTCTCAAAATCAAAGATACATAAAATGATATTTTGATCTATTATAATAATAAGTATAAAGAGAAAAAATTTCAACTTCATCATACATTTTATTTTCAATAGATTGATGACATGGCAAAAGATCTAACAAACACATTAATTAATAATGGCTTGCTTTCAACTACACATTCAATCTTAATCAAACAAACACATTGATTAGTCACGTATTATTGTCAATCAATATGCTTACTTCTACCTATTAAACATACAAATTGGTGATGTGACTACTATAAATAATTTACTATAATGCAACTATGTTCTATCTTGAATAACATGTATTTTGATTTTAATTTATCAAAGATGATCAGATTAATAATGAATATATGTTTTAGATAGTTATTGATCATATAAATTGAAAATTAGATTTCAGTAATGTATGTGTTTGTTAGGTACATCTTGTGTAAACCCTAAACCTTAAACTATTCTAATCCTGCCGTGTTTGTTAAATATTGATTGTCTTAATTCAAAATAAATGATTATCAATATTACATAATGATTGGATGTAATAATCAAATTTCACACATGAATGATCTGAATGTTTGAGAAATAAAAATTGGATTCATTGATTGAAAATTACACATTATCAATCTTTATGTTTGTTTGAAAACATTCAGTTGTGTAAGTTGAAAATTACATTTCAACAATTCACGTATTTAATTTATTATTATTTCATGCATTAAGTGATATATTGATTGATAACAATACGTTTAAAATCCATAAATCTATCAAATAGTTTTGCTGTATCATAAAATCATTAAGAATTAACCGTGTTAATATATTATTTGAAGTCTGATACTCCCATCCCACTGATTTTCTTTTTCTACTCTCCCCTTTGTTTATCTCAACTACTTCGTTTGATTCTCACCACCTCCGACTTAGCCTTTCTAATTCCACCCATTACTTGTACGGTCACGCCATTCTGATTTTCCCATTCCTTGTACCGCCACGGCATGAATCCCCTACCGAGTCCATTCACTACAATGTAGATGACTTGAAGACTGCCTGCTTATATGCCGCAGGGGAAACGTAGAAAAGATCGGGGAAGGGCGAGAAAAGCAAATCAGGAGGATGGAAGTATCAGAACTCTATTAGTGATAAATTTCTTAACAATATGATCTGTTTAAATTTTCTACATCACACTTGAATGATGATGTACGAAATGTTCATCCAGAGAAATATAATTTTTATCTTTCATTTCACGTGAATTTGATTATGTGAATTTCAAATCTTTTGAATTATGCTTCAAATAATATAAATGTATGTTGCAACACAAGACGTGATCATCAATACATAAAAAATTGGCTCTACTTCAACATACTTTTACACAACTAAATATGCATAAAATAAGCGCTATGTTATTCTTTATACACTTTGAAAATTATAAAAGTATTCTCTTTAATTTTCAAAATCTCCTTATTTGATGAAAATCTCGCTTGATGAATCGGTTTCAAGAGTATTATCATAGATATCATGCACCTATTTTTTTTAAATTCATGTTTTGTTTAATTTATATACTTTCAACAAGAAAGTCAAAGTAATGAAATCATTAAATTAGGAGAACCAAAGATTGGGATTGAAGAAATGGCAATCAACATTAGTAATTTTAACACATAAACACGGAATATACACGTAATGGAAATATATGAGAATAAATAGGTGAGACATGTTTTACAAGTTTAATATGATAAAGTTCCGATTCCAACTCCTCCAAATGGAAACCACTTCTCGACTTAACGACTATATTGATACATGCAAGCTCTCACATATATTATCTTCAGCTCATGTCTTGTGTGCGGAGAATTCTAGAGACATTGATGCGACGGGAGCAGCAAGTACAACGGTAAAATCCTCCTGAGGATTTTACCGTTGGAGCTGATGGCGATGAATCAAAACGTAAATGCGAAAGTAATTTCGACGCATCTTCGACGCATCCAACGTGGCGGTATATGGCATCTTCCTCTATCGAGTTTGCCAAAACTATTTGATCTGAAATGGACTTCCGCCTTGAATTTCTTTCATGGATTAAACATTTACGACAATCTCGCCTCCGCCAGGTTGATTTCTCAACCTGGACACCAATATTCTCAACGATAAGCTGATGGTATGATTATTTAGAAGCATCAAAATATTTTCTATCATTTAATTTTTATCGCAGATGTATAGTGTTTAATCTCGGTGAAAGCGCAAGGTAATGGTCAATCTTTCGAAGGTTCGAAAGTGATTACTCGGATGAGAGAGATAGAGTGTGGAAGTGCTTTCATTGTCTGCTATGACCGTTGGGAGGTCATTATAAGGAGCAGCAGAAGAGCAGCAGCAGAGTTCTGTGTCGATATTCCAGCTCAGTAGAGGGAGCTCCTCGTAAGACGAGCATGTTACGAGGCATATCCTTTCACATGTTCAGCAAGCAAGTTCGAGTGTTGTTCATGAGTGATGTCTTTCGATCGTTCAAGCTGAGTAGATGGAGCTCCTCGTAGAACGAGCATGTTACGAGGCAAATCCTTTCACGTGTTCTGCAAGCAAGTTCTAGTGTTGTTCATGAGTGATGTCTTTCGATCGTTCAAGCTGAGTAGATGGAGCTCCTCGTAGAACGAGCATGTTACGAGGCAAATCCTTTCACGTGTTCAGCAAGCAAGTTCTAGTGTTGTTCATGAGTGATATCTTTCGATCCTTCCAACCAAGAGACCATTATTTTCTCCGTGGGCGAATCGATGCAATCGCTTGTCTTGCATCCGAGACATGCATTTGTCGGATGATAATACTCTCTTGCTTGGATCTACACAATTTCTTCAAAATTATCGGTTTCGGTTGGAACTGATAACGGGAGGTGTTTCTACACAATTGATTCCACGAACAATTGACTTCGTATTCTTTGCACTATCTTCCGTATCCAAGGCTCTGGAGATCAAACAATCTGCAATTGTATCAGTTTGCAGCTTGCAGGTTTTTACCTAGAACTTTTGGGAGCACTAGCTTCTTCTCTCATGCCAGCTTTTTTTAAAAGGATTTCCTCTTAGGTTCTTATGCGTCTACGGTTCATTGCAACGTCTTGCAGTTCGGATGTCTTGCTTTCACTTTTGATTTTGTTGTAAAATTGAAAACAACTTGAAGCTTGGGTTCTGATGACTCTCCTATTTCATTGACTGATACTCTTCATATTTAAATCTTGCTTCTGTTGTTGATACTATTTCATCCTCACATAACATTTTAAACCGTGAATATCTATGCTTTATCTATTGAAGGTATTCATGAGATATTGACTGCTACAACTTATAGAGTAAGATGTTCCACAATTTTCAAGTGAATCTAACGAAAACTTAACATATCTCGTTTGGTAGTAAGAATTTCAAAACTTGGATTATAAACATTCTTCTCCGGTTTTATTTTTGTGTTTCACGCTTCTTGCAACTTGTATTTCAAACTTGGCCATACTACAAATATTGCATGTTTTATTGACTTGGTTAATTGGGAGAAATTGTTCATAAAATTTTTCATACGATGTTTGATGATGAATTATATTCATTTTCTCATCCTTTGTGTTTCTAAATGCAAGATGTCTTCTTACATTTATGTAACTTGCATATAATAGGTCTGTCAAATCTATTTGTTGCTGTAGTAAGTAATATTTTTATTCTAAATAAGCTGAAGAATTCAATGGATAGGAACTTTTAGTGAAGATCATCATACATATGGGTGCAAGGAATAGTTGTATGAATTTTACTTATCATTGATTACTTAATCTTGGTTTCATTCATTGCATCATGTTTGTTTGTGAACCACGTCAATTTGTTCAATTCTTCACTTTTGCATGATCCTCACATTGAGTTATGCAAGTTTTTGTGAATGGTGTTATTTTTTGACAAATGGTTTTATTTGATTGTGACATCTTAATAATTTATGTATGCTTTGTTGTTTGTTTACTACTCCTCTATTTTATGGAGTGTTGTGATTCTTTGTGATAATCGTAGTTATAAAAGTTTTTATAGTGGATTATGTAGTAATATTCAAAAAAAATTATTGATTACAAATTTTAAAAAATTTTTCTGCGTAGATTTGTTTATTAATCCTTCGTTGTTTATCTCTAGATCATCTATCATTTGGATTATCGTGCTGATGTCTTATGATCATAGGGATTCAATTCTCCATATTAAAATACACATGAAAGCTTTTGTATTGTTGTTTATGTTTATTGTGATTGATAAGGAAAATATACTTACTTGTGTGCACAAGTATATTTAGTGGTGCTTTCATGTTTGCTTATTGGTACTCAATTTTTTGGAGCGGTAAGCTCTTGTTTAATGATTAAAGTGATTCAATTATATACAATCATGTATAGCTAGATGGTTTAGTCTTGTTATTTTACTTCTTGTGATTGATTATAAAATCTTAATCTGTTGATAGTGAAAAAATATGTTTATTCGTACTGTTTTTGAAATTTTTGTGATTTTGTGCGTTGATCATAGTGATTCAAATTTACATTCAAGTACATAATGACAGTGTAATAGTTTTGAGGCTATTTCTTAATTCATTGGAAAATTTTGACATCCTGTTTGTTTTCGAAGATGTTTATTGGTGCTTTTTTGGAGGGTTGGTTCTCCTTGGTGCTACTTACAACTACTCCTCGTAAATGTCGATGTGCACTATTCCCAGATTACATCTTCACTATACTCAGGTAGTCAAAAATCTACTCTGCAGCTGAAAACATAAAAACTTTAGCTAAGTGAGCTAACCTTGGCTGGTCATGCTTGGTTGGTTGTCTATCCGCTTCAGCAATTCAGAAATCTCATTAAGTTCTTCATTCATCCCTAACAAATGCCTCGGTTGCCAGTGACTTTGAGAGAATCGACTTGCAACTGAGGCATTAGTGACAGGAACATATATATATATATATCTCGTTGGACAATGAGATTCCAGATCTCATCTTCACTGTTCTACACAGACACGCAACTTGCAATAATAGTTGACTTTCCTTGATTTCTTATTCCTATTTTCTTCTGAGATGAGGATTACTGCATCTTCACTAACACAACCCATTTGCACATTGAGGACCAACTTCCCATATCCTTGTCGATTTGCATGAAGAATGAAATCGTTCCACAATAAATATGTCCAGGATGCTGATGACTCAGATGGTGCTGAAATTTTTTGCAGATTTCATCTTGCTAGTATAGGCAGTATCTGAGCTGCAAAAGTATTAGTAATTTTAAGATATTTTCTTAAAAGTCTTGCACTTGCTCCGATTCGGATTTATTCTCCATTAACAAGGAACAAAGTTGTTACATCTTTGATGTAAATAAAGTAAGCTCCCTAGATACTCCGTTGACACTTTGTGATGATTTCTAATTTCCCTGTTTGAAAGAGTGTGATTGTCTTGATTCAATCTCAAATATTTTGCCTCATGTCAAAATATTCATGGAAAATGATCAGAATTTAGTTCTTGCCGTCGTTTAATCTCAAAATATATTTGCATCTTACACGTTGTCAGAGTTGGTTTGATTGATGGATTATCTTTTCTTCTTCCTCTTGTAAAAGTGTTTTTGCACCTCGTATGGTATTAGACATTGGTTCTCTTACTTATCGATGAACTTTTCTTTCCTCTAGGACAATGTGGTTGAAATCTTGCAGGTTAATCAGAGTTTTGTTATATTCTTCTGCTATATCCTTTGTTCTCTCGTGTGAAAGATTCATGTAGCTTGTTCGTTAATTAGAGTCGGTACGTGTTTTTTACTGTAATATGTTTGTTTCTTCGTTTGGAAATAGAGTTGCACCTTGATTGTTGATCAGGATTTTACTTTCTTCGTGAGATAAATATTTTCATATAATATGGTTATCAGAATTCGAGTTTGATTCGTGTTGTTTCTTTTTTGTACCTTGATTGGAGTTAAGGCTTCCCTTATGTTTAGAAGTGGTGATCAGAGACGAAAGCCTTTCATTGAAGTCAATTTCCAAGATCCGACCCTGTCTGAAAATGTCTGTAAGTTCGTTATGTCGTGTAGTTCGATGTTCATGACCGCGGTTCTTGTTCTTCACATGACGTCACCATACTGAGGAACATGAGAGATGCAACTAAATATACTGTTTGAAGATCATTATGCAATAAAGATTCAAGTATGTAAATGTTTATCAAGCATGGAATTAAAATAAATCTAATCATGTTGATATGATTTTTGTTGTTTGTAGGGAGGCTCTTTTTTCCTCAACATCCAACCGATTCTCGAGCTCTGAGTTGGTGCAATCATGGCAAGCTCATCGGGAACTAAATTCGGAGAAGTCCAACTACATCAAACCTACATATGCACAGGCTGTCATATGGGGTGGCACTATGCATGTATGTCTTTATTTGATGACGATGCCATCGATCCTATGGGAGGATTGTGGCATAAACATTGTGCGGGCCGATGCAGATGTATGGGTGCAGCATGTAATCGATGTGAGCAGTTAAGAAAGTTTACATCTTGTAGAGTAGATCTTCAACTTGTGTCGAGAGAGACCCTTCCAAAATTCTGGAAATGTCTATCATGCCATTCGGAAGCACTAGAGATAGATAATTTTCGAGTTCGTTCCTGTCAACAAGCTAACCTTGATTTAAACATGGAGGTGGAACCCGAAGATTGTCAGCTCCGATCTTCGCCGTCTGAAGGAAGGATGGATCTTGAAAAACTTACCCCTACTCCTTTTGAAGGAGGGACGGATCCTCAAAAACTTACCCCTACTACGAAAGTCCTCTCAGGTTTAGTAGACCAAGTTTCAGAGCTCAAAGTTCAATCTCCAGTTCCTAAGGAGAAACAGTGCACCATTCCAGATTCCACAAGGACAAGAAATGATTTGCAGGACCAAGTAAAAGGCTCTTTGAGTTTGTTGGGAGAACAGATTTCAAGCTCCATGGAAGATGATTATCCGATATCAAAGCTCATTAGGAAAGGGAAAAATTTGGCAACTCAGGAAGCCGAAGAATCTCTGGTACCCGTGAAGCAGATGGAAATTGAAGGGGAAGAAGCCAAAAAAGAAAAAAAAAAGAAGCGAAAAAAAAGATTTGGGAAGAACTGGACCTCGATGATATACACCAAGTGGGGCAAACGTGGAGAAAGGAGTAGGAGAAGATATAAAAGTCTTCAAGATGTACAGGAGCCTTTCCTTGTAGATGAAAATGTGGAATACTCTCACATTGTAGGAAACAGAGTCAGTAAAGAGATGGTGAATGAGGAAGACTTCACAACCGACTTGGCTAACTTGGAGGGCTGGAGGAAAAGAAGAACGGCATTTCCCGACTCTGACGACGAGGAAGGAACTAGCTTAGGCGGTTCTGGCTCAGATCAAGAGGTAAGGAAGGTGATTCTCTCAGGAGCCATATATTTCATACTTGCTTAACTTTGCTAAAGAAAGTTTAGCTCTCCGTATAACTTTTGGCGTTGGATTCATCTTTGTTTATATCAAATGAATAACTTAACACGTTACATACTTCATCTCATCCTCCACCTCTTCGGATGGCATAGATAAGCGATTAACTGGAGGTTGAGATCTATTTAAAATCTATGTTGATTTCTTCTTTCAATGTGTGTGACTCCTAGACACATCTCTTACATCAAGTTGCGAAAACTGGAGTACAGTCGGAACGAAGGGTTGAGGGAAAGGATATGAAGGCAATAGTAATCTACTCAGAACCAGATGTAAATCTTGCAGATCCTTCTCACGATCAGGTGCCTATTTTTTCAATTGGTCAAATATTTCATGTCTTTCTACATTATTCTTGTTTGTACATATCTAGACTTCATTGCAAACAAGTAGAAAGACATCTTTTCTTTCAGGTAATGGTGAAGTTAGAGTATTATATTATCAAATGCATAAAAGTTTGTATCACAGCTAAGAATTCATAGCTGAGTATGTAAGCAAGGGATGAGGACTGGGTATAGACTAGACCTATCATTTATTCATCAGCCTCACGTTTGAACATTGTGATGACAGCTGGAGTCTCTGACCGTACCAAATCGCCTCCAAACTTCTGATAATACGAGCGCTCTCATGATCATAGATAGCAACACACCTCAGGGACTGCAAAACATCAAAGTTTTGAAAAAAAAACAACTGCGGAAACCAGTTCAAGCCTTAGCTGTGACGGCTCCAAAATCTCATTTCGGCCCCATCACTGCTGACCATGATCACAAACGACGTCGCGGAGTACTCGTTGGAGATATTTGGGATAACAGATTGAGTTGTCGGCAATGGGGAGTGCATTTACCACCTGTATCTGGCATAGCAGGGCAATCTGAATATGGAGCTCAGTCTGTTTGCCTCTCAGGTAGTTACGATGACGAGGACCATGGAGATTGGTTCATATACAGTGGAAGGTACGACCATTCAGTTTGCATCTCGGGATTTTGTACTTCATATATAACGTCTCCTATCTCACTTATTTTATCTGCAGTGGAGGCAAGGAGTTGATCCAATCGGTCAACAGATCGTCGCCTTATTACACAAAACATCAAGTAAAAGATCAGACGTTTACTAGCTTCAATGCTTGCTTGAGGTTGAGCTGCATCGAAGGGCTACCGGTGCGAGTACTAAGGTAAGAGGTTCAATGATCTTGATACGTGTGAACCAGAAGAAATTGTTGTGGTTGGGGAAAATTATCAAAACTTGTTTTGGTCTCTCTTCTATACATTCTCAAGTCTGTATACAATAGATAAATTACGTTAGACAGCTGGATTTCACAGTTACACATTATGATATTGATTGAAGTCTGACAACTAAATGACTATAGATTTCTGTACTCAAATTCCAAAGCCATTGAATTGTTACTCTACTTTCAGGTTCCAAAGTAAACTGGTGAAATCTAAGAACCTCGAGGCTTGTGTCATAAAATCAATTTTCAATAAATCTTCTGTCTTCTAGGATTTGAACCTTTTAATATTATGTATGGTGTGAATATGTAGAGATGCCTTTTTACGCATCTGTATTTGCCCTTTTGATAGTCCAGTCCAGTTTTGACAGTCCAGTTTTCTTCTGAATACCTATAATTTTCTTCCTATTTTTACTTCGCTAGCTAAATAGAGCCATACGTTATATGTATCTGATAAATTATGATACAGATTATACTAATGAAGAACAATGCACCATATTCAGAACACAAGTTGGGATTTGATAAAATCTACAGGAATATGGTTCATTAGCTATCCCTATGATCTGATCTCGGCTTTTAAATTGATTAGCTTTGTCCATTCGGGGTCGAAATCTCGTTTCTCATGTGTTGCAACAAAACTTTCTCCTCTATACAGGTCTTACAAGTTCAAAAGTTCGCCTTTTGCACCGGATCCAAAATCTTTGTGCTATCGCTATGATGGTATATACCGAGTCGAAAAATGCTGGAGGATCGAAAAAAAATCGGTGAGGAAAAGTTTAACAAAGTCTACTCAGCATAAAGAATGTTATTCGGTATGTTGAGTAGACTTAAAATAAATCAAGGCCTACTCTTCAAGTGTACTATTTTTTATGTATACTAAAGTAAGTCTAGTGAATTTAATATATATTTCACTGAACCTCACATGTGCAGGGTTTGAAGGTGTGCCGATTTCTCTTTCTGAGATGTGACAATGAACCTGCACCTTGGAAGAAAAGGTACTTCACAGTGTAACAATTCGTTTTAATATCATGTCACTCCATTTTTTAAAGTAATTTTGTAAACTTTATTTTTTTAAAGTGATATTCATTTTGGATTAACGTAGTGTGCATAAAAGTGAAAAATATTACATTTTTTTTTTCAGCAAAGACAACGTGGAAAAGAAAGTGGATTTCTTGAATCCACGGGAATATTTTGCAAGACTCAAGTTGGAAGCTGAATCTATATTAGTCAAAGAGCTGGATGTATCTTCTGAATTGACAGAAAGAACTGCTCCACCAGCTTGGGACTGGAAGGTATCTCTATCTTTTCCTTATAGCAATTTTTATTTTTTTGATTTAATTTTAAAAAAATATCTGATGAGTTATTTTATGAAAGTGTTACTTACAATGACAAGTGTTACTTGTATTTACTTGCGCATATTGTCAGAATGACAAGGAAGAATGGGGATGGGTGAAAGATCCTCCAACTAGAACCCGGAATCGCGTTCTTAAAATTGCAAGACGGCTTAATTTTCAAGTCAAATTCCAAAAACATTCAAAATCATCTCTTGCATTGAATGAAGGTAAAAAAAAAAAACTCTGTTATCAATGTTACATTTGATATCTTTATCATGAATCTTGTGTCTTTTATGATTTTTTCTATTGATTCAAGCATGTATTCTTTTATATATTATCATTTAATCACAGGATTTCATTGTGTGTTGTGTTGTTTGCAGCAATGTTATGCTCTTTTTGCAATGCAACGCAAAAACTAAATGATGTTGAGTATGCATCATGTGGCCATAAGTTTTGTACTGATTGTCAGATCAATATACAAACTAGGTCATTGGAAAATAGATCACAACATGTGATTGACATGGAAAGTGGGAAAAGAAAAATCACATGTCCAATCCAGAGATGCAAAGCAAATTTGACAAAATTTTTCAGACGACTGGAGGTAAGAATTTATTTTTAACAAATTTTGGTTCCATATATTAAATTTAAATTATTTTTTTCATAAGTTGATTTTTTTTATTTTATTTTTGATGATTTTTAAATTAAATAATATTTCATTGATAAAAAAATTATTATCATAGAGCATTATTGATCATTTGAATTGAAATGTTGTGCAGATCAAAAAAAATTGGCAACTTCAAAATCTTTCATCATCCATGTTGCAAGTTTCCTGTCTCTCTCAAGACAATGATGATAAGTTTGAATCATCAGATGATATTGAGGGAGATCCTGATTATGAACCTAACATTACGCCTTTATCTAGTTCTCCAACTTCAATGTCATCAGAAGATTGATACTAGAAAAAGATTTTACATGTTTGTAACCTGTATATTAAAAAAATTCTACATGTTTGTTTGCATGAGTTCAAGTTTTTAATTAAAATCTAAGTTAAACAGATTATGCAAAAAAATTATTATCTTATACTTAGGAATGATTAATTGTGTTTATTATTAAAATATGTTATTTTTAATAATTTTATTTTATCAAATTTATAATATATGATTAAAATACATATTTATGGTTTTTTTGAAATAAAAACAAAAAATTATCTCTAAATATAAAGATTTTTAAAACTTATAATAAATAAATACCACAATTAAAATAATTAATTTTCTGATTTAGGTAAACTAACTTGCAAAATCATATCAAATTTTGGTCAATTATTACATGATTTAATTTTTATATCCACAAATATATGATGTATATATTAACTATGATCATGATAATCGAAATGCAATTCAAAAATATGATTCAGGCTGTGGATTTTTTTTTAAACAAATGAAAAATAAACATTGTTATTGAAAAAATTTATTCAATTTTTATTAAATAAAATAAACAGTAAAATAATTTCAAATAGCAAAATTTTTTAGTATATTACAAAGTTTAATTTTTTAAAAACTAGTTTAAAAATTAAATTGTAAAGTTAAATGATTTTTTATATGCTATGTAAGAAAAAAATAGAATTTTGCTTGATTAATATTTTTGGTTTTAGAAAAATGCAATATAATCAGAAGAAATATTTTATATTCAATGTTCTAATAAGATTTATATTTTTTATTTTATTACAATTTTTTGAAACTAATAAAATATATACCAAAAATAATTTTAGTATTAAAAAATTTTGTTTTTCAATTTCCAAAAAACTTGTGTTCAACGTTAATTTTTTATCGAAGCCAAAAAATAAAAAAATATAATTGTAATACTGAAATAAATTATGAAAAAATCTTATTAGAACACTACGCTATAAAAATACTTTATTCTTGTTGGATTGAATATATTCTTGGCAATCATATGAAAGGGGGTTTTTGAATATAAATTTCAATAATTTCAATTTCAGTTTCAATTTTATTAAATTTTTACAACTTTTTTTAAAATATATCTTTAAATTATATTTTAACTGAAATGAAGAATGATAAAAAATCTTTAATCTTGCTTAAATGTTATTGTAATGTATAATTAATTTATTAAAGTAAATCTATTTTTTATTTCAAAAAATATTTTCATTCATTTGAAAAAAAACAATCCATAAACATGAAAACGTTATTTTTTGATAATTTAAAACCTACAAAATTTGAATTTACATATTTCTTATTCAAAAAATACACTCAATGGTAATTTAATTATTATCAAAAAAATTTAATATAAGTTTTTTTACAATAAACTTTTTGATTCGTTTTATTGATAAAATAACAATTAAAAAAAACTACTTTTCCCCAAGATAGATAGTTTGAAAAGGAATAGTTTATAATACATTTAGACAGGATAGATAGTTTAAAATTTACATTTAGCACTCATCAATATCTACTGTTATTTCTTATTTCTTATTCATCTCATTTCTTATTTATTCATCTTTTTTTATTCTTATCAAAATTGCCTGGTATGTCCAGATTGACCACACTGGACATACCACATGCTTGATGCATGTCTACCTGACTCGACTGGAGGAGGAGGCCCTGGCTGTTGACTCCTGATCATCAAGGCCATCTGATCTGTGATATTTTGCATTTGCTTCATCATAGTCTCTTGAAAGCCCACTTGGCTAGCATTTAATCTCTTCTCTACATCTGCCAGGTTAGGATCTTTAGTAGGGGCTGGCAATGCTAAAACAGGTGCTGGCTCTCTGGTCTGCGAAATTGACTCACTGAGAGAATAGGTAGCTTGACCCCTAAGCCTACCTAAGTCTCCTTCAATTACTCTAGGACGAATGGGGATGAACTGGGGAATGGATTCATCCTCCTTCCTCCACAATCTATCATAGTCTTTATCAATATTCTCTATCTCCTTGGCAGCCATCTTGGCTTCAGCAAGAGTTTGAGGGCTTCTCTCCAGCACCCCACGGATGGTTCCAGATTTGAAAAAACCTTGGATAAAAAATTGTCTCAGCGTATCGTCATTGAGCATTGTACCCACAAAACGCGCACAGACAAGATCAAATCTTCTAATGTAAGCTGAGATTTCCTCTTCCCTTCCCTGTTTTAACGATGCCAAAGCTCTCAATGCAGAACCCTGCCCCACCTCAGGCCTAAACTCATTCAAGAACTCCCTTTGCATCTGGTACCATCCCCCAAAATGACCTTCAGAATGATCCCTATACCACTCATACGCCTCACCTTCCAGGGTAGTAGGAAACCAGACCAAACAATACCCTGGGTCCGTAATCAGAGAGCTGGCTAGCCTCTCAACATATCTTTCCATGTGCCTTGAAGGATCCTCATCCTTTGTCCCATAGAACTTAGGCAGATTGGGTGGCATGACCACAGTTGCCAAGTTCTGTGGAACCTGAATAGGAAGGCCTCTTGGCCTCACGAGTGGGTCTATGGGAGGACTAGAAGGAGGTCCTGCTCTCCCTCCATCGTCAGCCATGCTAGCAGATTCCTCCACCAACCTCTCACTGTCAGGTTCTACAATCTCTAAACCTTCTAACAAAGACTCATCAACAGGGTCTACGTTCAAAAATATCTCAAGTTTAATTTCTTCCTCGATTTTCTTATTCTCAGGTTTCTTTCTACTGCGAACAGGTTTCTCCAGTCCTGGCTCCAGGTTTGGTTTGTGCGATCTAGTCCTATTCTGCATTTACAAGATCAGGCTCCCGGCAGACGCACCATTTTATGTGAGCCGAACCTTCCCACCCTTCAGCGTTTGTAGTCCAGGTGGGGGTTCGAACTCCCATAATCTAACTTCTATGATTACAAGCCATGTTCTCACAGTGTATTCAAGACAATGAGATGATAAACACTTGCTCTTCCATAGACAAATTGTCCAAAACTGAAACTAACACCTGCTGCCTACTATTTCCACGAGAGCATCAGACAAGCTCTTTGTTACATAAAGATCTAATCCAACTCTAGATGACTTCCTCAATACTACAGCCGCTGTGAGCTTTCCTAGATCCCAGTCCCACTCCCAATTCTTACTAAGATTTCAGCATCGATTTCTCAGCTTCCACCTTCAGACCCCACCAGATTCCTCTCTCAGATTCAACTCTCCCTTTCCAGTTTCAAATTCAGATTCCGACTGTCAGATTTCAGTCTCAAATTTCACTTCACTCTCAGCTCCCATTCTCAAATCTTCCACTCAGATCTCAGATCCCACTCACAGATTGTACACTTCAATCTCAGATCCCACTTAAATTTCACTCTCAGATACAACTCTCCACCCACGAGAGTTTGCTTCCTCCTACTTCAAACTCTCCACACTCCCCTCCTAACTCTCACCACTTCCCTGCGAAAAATCGCTCACACCACACTCTATCCTAAGACCGATACCACTTCCGTCTCCACACACGCACACCTCAAGCTCTCGCACACTGGTACACTCCCAACTCTCCGCTCCCAGGCTGAACACACCACCAGGTCTCAGCTCCAAGGCCGAACACACCACCTCGAAAATCCAAGGCCGAGACACCCACAGCCCGCCTGCATGCCCCACCCGCAATGATGGGTAGCTGCCTGCTCCCCCTGCACGACTTCACGCCGCCGCCGCCACCACACCTGTACATTCTACATTCCTGACCACCCGATCTCCGCCGGAGGGAATCTTCTTCCGCGCACCGCCGAAGGCATCCACCCGCCGAAGACGCACGACCGCACCTTTGCCTATCTATAACAGTCACTCCCGACACCCATAACTCACGGATCCTGACTCCGTTTCAATAGTTCTTGGGCTTGTTGGAACGAGCAGGTCGAGCTCTTTCCAACGAAACCCTAACTGAGTCAACCCGTTACGAATTACAAAAGTTATGCCGGTTTTACCCTTCGCCGAAGGCACACCGCCGAAGGCCTGTTATCTGTTATCGCCCAAGGCGCCCGCACGATGTTCGCCGGTTGGATGTCTTCCGGTTTGATATCCTCCGGTTCGATGTTGTCCTACCCTATCCGCCGCTTTCGACGCTCATAACTCAGTGACGCCTTATCTGTTTGAAGAGTTCTTGGTGTCGTTGGAACGAGCGTCGCAAGCTCTTTCCAACGAGACCCTAATCAAGTCAAACCGTTAACAAATGAAAAAGATATGCCGATTTTACTGTTTCGCCGATGGCCCTTCCCCCGAGGGCCCCTTATCTGGTATCGCCGAAGGCCCCTGCACGATGTTCACCGGCTTGGAGTTCGCCGACCCCGAGTTCGCCGATTCGGAGTTAGCCGACTTTGAGTTCGCCGACCTCGTATTTCCGAAGGCCTGCTCGCAGTTGTCGCGAAGGCGTCCGAAGCCGGAGACGTCCGGAGCCGTCCGGAGCCGAAGGCGTCCGAAGCCGGAGACATCCGGTGCCGAAGACGTCCGAAGCCGGAGACATCCGAAGCCGAAGGCGTCCGGAGCCGAAGACGTCCGAAGCCGAACTCGCCTCAACCCTTCCCATCAGTAACTTCCGACACTCACAACTCAGTGATGCCTTATCCGTTTCAAGACTTCTTGGTCTCGTTGGAACAAGCGTTGCGAGCTCTTTCCAACAAGACACTAATTGAGGCAAGGTGTCACACATTGAAAACGTTATGAGGGTTTCACTGTTTCGCCGAAGGACTTTCCCCGAAGGAACTTCACCGAAGGCACTTCGCCGGAGACCCTGCCCTAAAGGCCCCCTTCCGCACCTTTGTCTACTAACTATTACACCAACTCCTAATCTTGCCAAAACTTCCAGAAAACTCCAAGCACAACTTTGCAAGAGCATAAATCTAAACTTTTAACTCTCATAAGGTTAAAAAGACATGTGAGCACAGTTTTGTGCTCACAGGTATAAGGACGAACTGCTCAAGTATCTAACCAGTTACTAGCTCTAAGCATTCAGCAATCACCCGCAGGTGTA